ATTTTATCCATTCGTAATATCGGATTCATCCCTTCGCTTGGATTCACTACCTCCCTCGACAAGGGGTGCAGTATTTTTTCAACATTGTTATTCAACCTTTGTACAGCAATGTTATCCCGTCGTCGCTTGAAATACCGGAGCTTATTCGAAACGTTACAATAGAATCTGTGATGAACGTGGTACATCATGTCTGTATCATCAAGGCATTTTAATGCCATTCATTGCATGCATATTTATAGTAAGAGACTCACCAGAGTGTACCTTCGGCTGTATCAACCTCATCTCTATTTACATCGGTATATATTTTTTCGATATATTTACTCGCTCGGAAAATCAGAGTGAACAACATTCCGAGACAGGTTGGACCGGGGATTCAGGGTTTACGACAACTTTGAGTTTACTATCTGAAAACGTTCGTTACTGGTTTTCCTGAGGCATACTCTTGAAAAAGGAGCTAGTAAGTTTCTATAGTTGTGTTATACTGGCTAAAACTCGGGGGAAGACGATCGTCTTCTTTGGAAAAGTTGTTCAGCATTCGAGGGCTAAAAGAACGCAAGTAGAGGGAACAGGAAGTGGGTCTCGCGTGTCGAATCAAGATTGCTGATACAGCACTACAGGGAAGAATTTCAGAGTCTGAAACTTTGTCAGTGAAGAGAGAATTTTCTTGTTAGAAAATTGGTAGGTAGTTGACGTAGTTCTTGCGATTTTTGTAAAAGCAAATAAAGTTTTCATGCTCGGATACATAGTCTCCTCGTAATTGGATTTGTATCGACTTAATTAATGCTTGCTTGATAGGAAAAAGAAAGTCTGTACGAAGAAAATTGTGGAACTCGATCGTCTGCTTGGTACAGAAACGTTTATATCATTGATCTTTCGAGGTGGTACAGGAGGAATTCAAATAATCGTGTTGCCAGCTGCCGACTTTACCAACTGAATTGTCATCAGACTATCTGCTTAATATTTACCTGTAGTCGGAATAGAGGGAATCGAGGTTTATTGGTCAAGGTCAACGACAGCAACCTTTGATAAGATGAGGTGACTTCATGAAGAATAGAGTATTCTTCATGGATGAAACCTAGGTTGTGAAGTATAACTGTTCTACATTCTCGATGGTAAGTTGTTGCTACAATCGTTGGTAGAGTAGAAATCTTTTAAACGTCAACTAAACTATGACTTGATCCACTGAATTGTGATCAGGATACCTAGAAGAACTGTCGTACAACGTTGCTGTCTACTGGCATCAAAGAATATTAAAACCGATAACGATAAATAATTTTTCCCCTTATCGAATGCCCACTAATGACCGACATTATCCATTCAAGATCATAATCTTTTAGTTGACTCCAATAAAATAGAACTCTTCCAATAATGTGGAGAGGGATAAACCGTTAATTAATCTAGCGATTTCATTGCATCCAATTTGTTCCTTAATACCACTCCCTAACGATCATCTTAAACTCAGACACAATGTCCATCATTCTCCTTC